GGGTGGGGGCCAAGGGGGCAGTTGGTGGGGCGCGACGAGTCCTAACGTCTCTGCCGTTGTTGGTGAGAGGGGAGAGAACATCAGTTTCAGCTGGGGTGGGTTGCCGAGGGATAAGGGCGTGGATGGCGTCAGCATATTGGTTGATGATGTAGAGAGGTGGAGGGGATATGTGGACGCAGAATTGAACGAGAAGGAGGAGGGCATTACGCTTCAGAGGGGCAGGGGAAGTGAAGGGGAGCCGGAGTTCTATCGTTTTGCGTGGATGAATGGGAATTCGGCGGGCAGGTATGGTGGGGTGGGCATTTGGGACCAGAATGGCATTTGGATACCGCCTAGGAGTTGGGAGTTGGGGGCAAAGAGATAAAAACGCCGCGGGGCTATGATGGGATAGTGCTGAGTAGATAGATGGGATAGATGGAGGAACTTGACGTAGATAATTATACAGATAGAACGATGTCCCATATCCTCCTGATCAACCCGCTATCTTCAGCATTGTTCTTGGTTCCATCAGATAGAAGAACCACCGAAAAGTATGTAATAGGCTGCTTGGCGGGTCTGTATATCTAGAAGATAAATCTCTCTCGATGAAGTGTGGCAGATATCCCGGCTATCGCTTTGGCTCTCCACCCAACCTCTTCGTAGTCTAAGCGGTCTTGCTTGAAACATACATGCTGATTTCTTCTTCTCTCTATTACTGATTCATGATCGACGAAATAAGACGAGCAAGTCATAGCTAGAAGGAAAATGGCATTGCGTAGGTTGAAAATGCAACTCTCCCTTGCCAATTGCCCTGCAACTAGATCGGTGAATTATGTACTTTGGGAAGTGGGCAGTGCTTCATACAACAGCGGTACAATAACAGATCAATGTATACCCGAAACAACCTCGAACGCAGGAATGGGGTAGGTGATATGAAGACACATGGAAGTCATTAAGTGTCATATCGTGATGATCAGACGTGCTGCACTGAATAGTTAATAGTTGGGCATGCAGACAAAATACGAGTCATGATACGTATCGATCAAATGTGCATCTTGCTTGTTCATTCTCCGCTGTTCGTTGCAAAAGGAGATTTGTAAGATATCACAGGGGAGAAAGGGAAACGATCTGCATATTTCTGATCTTTGGCCACCTACTGACAAACTCTCTTTGGCCCATATCACCCTCTTCCTTCACCACTATCAACCATTGTTCATACCGAAGGTCCCGCCCGTAGTAAACTCCTGAACATGCCATGATCATTGGCCACCATTGATTCTCAGGTTCACGTCCACTGCGTTGCCTATTTGCGCCACGAAAACCCAGTCAGCCATTCCTGTATTTCTAGCAGCACGCAAGGGCAGGCGAGCATGAAGAAGTGATGATGAGAGTGGGGTAGGGACAGCCTCTGAGACGTACCTTCAAATTGTTGGGGCTTAATGTAGACGCGTTGTCCCTCGGCTACGGAGTTAAGCATGAATCCTTGGGCTATATGACATGTTAGCTTTATTGTTGTCCGATTTGGGCGGTGGGCTTCGTTATGATTGCCGTAGACTCTGATGAAGCACGTTGCAATATTCCTGCGCGAGAGCCTTGGGTTTAGGTACTGAGCCCTATGAAAGAGGGAAAGAGAGAATGGGCGGGCCCAAAAAGTAGGCGGAGAAAGACTCAGTGAGGGAAGAAGATAATACCTGATTCTGGTACCAACTTGATATACTGCTGGCCCCTGTTGTCGCAAGAATAAATGGCGCCGAACTGAGCTTCTGTCTCTCCAGGCCCACCAAACTCAAAGCCCTGAGGAGGCGGCGGGAAGATGGCAATCCCAGGAGATAGAATGGCAGGGAATCCACCATCAGCAGTGACCAGGGTCTGGTTAACAAGCCTGAAGGTCGGAGAGGCTATCTTGGTGCGGCTGATGATGGGGATGCTGGTAACACTCTCCGAGGGATTGCGTGGTGACAGTTGAAGGGGCCAGCTGGCCTCATTAGCCGATGTCGAGGAACCCGGGACAAGCACGGAGAGGGTGAAGGCCTCGGGAAGGGAGGTAAAATAGATCTGGGGAACGAAACATGAGGGAGCGGCTGGTGCGGCCGAGACATAGGAGCCGATCAGGGCAAGGAAGAACGAAGTAGTGAACTGCATCGTATAAATAACTCGATGTGACCAGAAGTCAGACAGGTGGTTCAAGGGCTAGATCAAGCTGCACCGAGTATTACTTTAGCTTGCAAAGCAACGTCGAAGACGGGCGTAGAAAGGGAAGGGGGCTCGGAGGCTATGATATAGAGGAAATCCCCTTCACGTGGCCATTCGTGTATGGTGAACTATTCGACGGTTGCGTTTTCTGCATCCTTTTTCGTACTCGTTAATGCAGCATTCTCAATAAGCGAGGAGCCCGTCTCCTGGCAGCAAAACCACCAATAAGGAAGCAAAACCTTGCATCGTTGCTCATACTCAAACCAAAACTACTGAGTAATAGTGAGGTAGATCGAGAAGATGGCAGGCACTAGATTCACCATAAATAGAGGTGTCGTGATCTGGGTGAGAATAGGAGGAGAGACACGAAAAGCAATTGGACAGCTGCAGCAGGGGTGACTTAGCTATAGGTACTGGAATTCGTAATGGCCATAGTAGCGGAATTAATGAACAACTCGCAAATCTAGAAGCCCAGACCAAGCAGGATCGGAAGGCAAAAAGAAGACTATGTAGAAGATGTGAGCCATTGGTTGGTTGTCTCGACATCTTGCCACCAAAACCAGATTCATCTCCATAAGGTTCGGTGGTGCCTTGGCGCCTCAGTAGCCATGCGGGAACAATTGAACATCCAGTGGACGCCACCATAACTACTGCGTAGTACTATGGGGGGGGCATGAAGTATTGTTAGTTCAGCGCTAGTATCTTTACTCCAAAACGTTTTTTGTACAAAACAGCTAAGCCTATATCTGACTAAGAGTAAAATTTTAGCTCTTTTGAATAGTCGTGCTTAAATCAAGCTTTGTAATAACAAATCACGGCACTATAACGGAGTAACTAAAACTAGCCGCTACTAGCACCAAACTAACAATACTTACTACGGGTACAGGCCTAAATAATGTACCCCCCCCTGGTGAAAACGCTAGTATTCGTACAAATCGACTATACAGAATTGAGGATAGACGTTAATAAAATCGCCCAATAGGACTAGTCTCTAAAATCGAGTTTGCATTCCTTTTGCATCTATAATTGCTTGACATCTCTCTCGCATAGATCTAAGCAGCTCCACAAGATAGTCAGAAGGCACAGCATCCCATGCAGCATTAACAGCTGCACGTAGCTCATTGTGCTTGTGTAATGTATCTCTATAGTGCTCTTGTATCCAATCCTTCATCCAATTCCATACCATCTCAATTGGATTCAAATCTGGCGAATACGCAGGCCATTGAACGCATTGGATACCATGTTGACGAAGATCTCGAATAGTGCCCTTAGCAGCATGAGCAGGAGCAGAATCTTGCATAAACGTTAGATCTCTATTTGTACGTATCTAATTGTCAATAATAGGGATGATATGCTCTTGATATGTTGCTTCTTTAATACTCCCTTATTCTTTCTCCCAAAATATACTAGGGCCCTTCTTATCACCATGAAAACAGCCCCAAAACATCCAACCTTTACGTCGTTGATAGCGTTCAACAATACATGTAGGGTCCCACTCCTTACTAGGTTGACGTGTAACGTACGTCTTTGTATGTTGATCCCTATTAACCCATGTTTCATCACTCCATAGTATCTTCTTCTATTGTTCGTACGTCTAATTAACGTGTTCATGAGCCCATTGTAAACGCGCTTGTTGATTCTTCTTAGAAATAGGGGGTTTACAACGAGTAACTCGACGTGAGAACCCTGCTCTTTGTAAAGTATTTCGAATAGCGTACCATCTAATATTGATCTTTATAGCAATAGGGATTTGTATCTATGGTGTACGTCGATTTGCTAGAGAAGAACAAATCTATGTAATAATTTGATCAAGTTCTTCATTCGTAATTATTGAATGTCTGCCAGGGCGCTTTTTAAGCGTTAATTGATTATGTATAGCGTATTTAATTTGACGGCGTGTAAGATTTGGGAGCTGCTGAAGAATTTCGTTATACGTATGCCCTGCGTCATATAACGTTTGAATTTGCAAACGTTGATCTCGAGTAGTTTGAGAAGGATTTGAGGGATTCGAGGGATTCGAAGGAGGAGTAGAAGGAGGAGGAGGAGGAGGAGACATCGTAAAATTCGCAGTATTTGAACGTGTAGAATTTGTAGAATGCGCAGAATTCGAACGCGCAGAAATGCGTAGAATTTGAACGTGCAGAATTTGTAGAATGCGCAGATTTCGAACGCGCAGAAATGCGTAGAATTTGAACGTGCAGAATTTGTAGAATGCGCAGATTTCGAACGCGCAGAAATGCGTAGAATTTGAACGTGCAGAATTTGTAGAATGCGCAGATTTCGAACGCGCAGAAATGCGTAGAATTTGAACGTGCAGAATTTGTAGAATGCGCAGATTTCGAACGCGCAGAAATGCGTAGAATTTGAACGTGCAGAATTTGTAGAATGCGCAGATTTCGAACGCGCAGAAATGCGTGAATTTGAACGTGCAGAATTCGTAGAATGCGCAGATTTCGAACGCGCAGAAATGCAACGAATTCGAATGTGCAGAATTTGTAGAATGCGTAGAATTCGAACGTGCAGAATTCGTGGTAGATAGCAATAGGGATGCTAGCAAGGGTGCGTATGTAAAGTGGGCGTTTTGTAACAAATTTTGACCAGGGGGGGGGTACATTATTTAGGCCTGTACCCGTAGTATGCCTCCCCCCGTAGTAAGTTGTAGTTTTGCAGGGGCCAACACGATGAGCGCGCCTTAGGATTATCTAGTGGGTACCAATTTGGGTAGGAAAGAGATTCGAACACTCTTGATTTTGGGCCGCTACTGACCAAACGCATGGCAGATCCCCTTGCCCTGAAGCCTTGGACTCCTAGACCACCCATTGCCGTGGGCACGTGACTAGTGTCACGCTAAGCCCTTTTGGGGTCTCCCTTCGCAGGAGGATCTCGGTCACTTGTATTTAAGATTGAACAAAACCCGCAGCTATTTCGCGCAGAATCTTGCGCAGAATCCTACGCAGGATCCACCGCAGGATCCACAGCTATTAGCACAGAATCCTACACAGAATCTCCGCAGAATCCTCCGCAGAGTTCACAGCTATTTCGTACACCATCCTGCACCGGATCCTTCGCAGACTCCGCAGCTATTTCGCACAGAGTCCTACGCAGAATCCACAGCTATTTCAACGCGGAATTCAACGCAGAATCCGCCGCAGGATTACTCGTTATTGGGTTGCAAAAAATGTGCCAAATTTTAGATATCAGGAAAAGAAGGTTGCGACTAGGGAGGTGTTGATCTATTATCATTTGTCGATTTCGCTTGATTATAGGATCCACCGATGCAAAGGTTAAGGGGCAATGTCATCTATCATATGTTGTCACCAGCGACTACTCGAATTTTGAAGAATTACCCGAAATGGATAGAAATAATACCGATTACAGTTGAAGATTTGTATTTAAAGAGAAAAATTTTCTTACTTGATTGATTAATGAATTTATTATTGAATAACAGTGGTTTGACTTGATCTAAGAAAAGAAATCATTGATATAATATAGTTGAAGTTATTAACTTAGCATGATTTTGCAAAGTAAGAGACTTTGCGGAGAGACATGAACACACTATCGTGAAGTGCTAGTGTGTTAAAATTACGCAAAACCGGCTCAGATTTCTCTCCGAGAGAATGCCCCCAAAGGGACTTAGTGCGGCTTTGGCCCACGGTCGATCGCGCGAGGTCTGAGGCAACTCAACGGTGGTGCTGCTCCGTCCGCCAAGGCCTTGCTTTTCACCCTCTTAGTATCCCGTTCTTGCCCCATTCAAATTGTGTAAATGGTCATCCCAAAAGCTGTCTTCATTGTCTAACTGAGAATAGGGCCTGCAGAAAGGAATCAAAGCTCCATCACAGTAACAGCCGCCATCTCGCCTCAGTCGAATGTGAAGCCAGTTTTTGTCGATTAATCCTTGTTGTTACCGTGCCAAACTGCTGCCACTCCGGTATGCAGCAGGGAGGCTCACTTTCAATGCGTTTGCGGATATTCGCCGGAACTTTGGTGGTCAAAGCTGAAAACTACTTAATAGTAGTACTACGTAATATATGGATTGGGTACTTGCAAAGAATCCCCGCATCAAAGAGACATCATTTCTTACCAAACAACACCTTCTTCCTTATGCATTCTACCCGTAGTAGGACCTCTGATTACAAGCTGTAGCTCTTTGCTTCAATTTACCACTTAAGGAGTTGTGGACCCTGGGCACCTTGTTTTTGCCTCTCATCCGAATCCACATACTATCCTACTTTGAGGACCTCACGTGCGTTTCATGAAGCCATACACAAACATGAGTGTCAAGTCGACTTTCGGCACGTCATTTCACACCTCCTACAACGTACAGTCCACTATCGGCATTCCCTTTCAAGAGCATTGCTTACGAATTCTAGTCAAGCTCCTTTTCACTTACCTCATTTCCCAGTATATCCATCAAATCGAACAAATCAAATCATGGCCCCCATTTCATTTGCTTATCTTGCAAGTCCCAGAGGTCGATTTGATTTGATTTGACTCCTTTGTCAAATGGAGTCAAATTTAGTCAAATACTAGTATAGTAAGTACTAAATGTCTTGTTAGGAGGACTGTTATGGATTTTCGACTCCAAAACGAGAGTCTGCCAAGACTTCACCTTTTATCAAAAATCACCACGAACGATAGTTCAAAGTGTAGGACTTGTCCGCCAAGACTTCTATTTGACGAATCTGTCAAAGTTCGAAGCCTTTGATTTAATTTGACGAAAGCGTGGATTTGGTACAAACGGACACACTGCCATCCCCGAAGTCTTGACTACGTTTAGTAGTTGTTTATTGATTACAAGCAACTTGAACTGGACTGGAAAAATAAAGCTTGGCTGCAGGGCCTCTTGTTTCTGTCGTTGAGCGGTTCAAGTACTACACAAGAGACGTACCACCCTCTGAAATCTGTTGTCATAATAGTACAATCCTGCTGTTAAGGTCAACTCCTGCCAAGGCTGGATGCCTCCAGAGATTATTGCATGACTCTGTTCAAAATTATGGTCGATTGCATAGCTTTTTGCTGGATTCTGAGAGCCCTTAGTGGTCAAATCTTGTTTGCTTGTCCACTGGTTTCGCCTATAACTCACGAATGAAATCCAAAAGCAATACCGGAACAAATTCTGCTGGGGTTTCTCGAAGAGAGGGTCGCAGGATCGATCATTGGCGTTGATAGCGAGATACTTCTCTTTTCACCAACCAGGATTCATAGGCTACATTTACGTCTGAGATACACATAGAAGGTCAGTAGTGATGTCTTTTTTTCTTGCAATGCTTGAATGCTTCTTGACCGAATTCTACGGGGAATTGATAATCATTGCATTCGTTGCACTATCAAATTCACACGCGACCTTCATAATCCAGGGGTCAATTTTATAACGGAATTTTCTCGGGTAGATATCATGGATACAAGACTTTTACTATGGCACAGGCTCAAGACGATGTTGTTATGTGATTCGCTTCGGCTTCGGTGTTCAAGGCGAAGTTCCAACGCTTCCTGCAACTTCTCAGCCTTCGATTTCAATAATATTTAATGCCTCGACAAACCTCACACAACGACCGCCTTGTTTCATCAGCACCAAATGCGACCCCATGGCCCGCTGCCATGGCTGGAACAACACATTAGTCATTCTGAACAGTATCAGGTCAATGCGCACTAACTACGCCCAAAGACACAGCCCCCATTTCCCATAAAGAGCTTAACGCTCAGAGGCGCTCGCTAATAATTTCTCAAAGAGGCTTTCTTGGCGGACTTAGATCAGGGAGGTCCCTGATGTGATTCGCCAAAAGATAACTATATTCGCTGGAGAAGGAATTTTTTGGCTGATCCTCTCTGAAATTCTCCAATGTCGCCGTGGATAAGACGATGCCGCAGCCCACCCTTTCACACCAGCTGCCCTACCCTTTGGACCCAAAACTTTAACCACATGGCGCACGAGAAGGGCGGATTGAATATTCCTGCTAGTGCTTTTGCCTATCTTGATTCATTGCCCAGCAATCAAAGGCAGCGTTGAAGGCATGGCATACGTGTGTGGAATGGCGCCAAGTACCAACAACAACAACATCAGTCATGTCCGAGCGAGTGACCTTCTGTCTCCGCCCCAGAGCCGAACCGTACCAGGAAATGGCTTATAGAGCGGAGGTAGGTCCTTTGATCGAAACATGCGACCTCTCATTCACTCGTCTCATCTTGCGCTGGATTGTTCCAACCCCTAGGAGTTGTTACTGCTAGACTCTTGCTACAGTCCTCTGTTGTTGAGCAATGGACCCAAGCACCCTCGCGGTAACGCCCGCCCTCGCTCCTCCGCCAGGCGTGAGGCCGGACTTCGTCAACTCATACTCACTACTGCCATGGATAACCGCCACTGCTTCGGTCTGCATGGTGCTTACGGCCTTGGTGCTGGCCCTGCGAATGTTGACTAAAACAGTGGTCATACGGTCGGTTGACTGGACAGATTGTATGTTTGACTGACTGGCACTGTTATGCTTTTGGATCAACAGCTCTGATATGTATCCACAGATAATGCTCTTCTTGGCTTTGTAAGGGCTTCGTTGAGCTGTGTAGCTCAAGACCTCTTCACCATAACGCACAAGACTGACAAGCTGACAGGCTTTCTATACATCGTTTGTAGGATGCGCTCTTGCTATTAACTCGCAAAGACGTGGCCGTCACCAATGGGATATGTCAATGCTAACTCTCCTTGAGACCCTCGAGGTGGGCGTCCTTCCTTGTGCCATTATTGCGACTGACGCAGCTTACCACTCCCAGCTCGAGAATATCGCCTCCATCATGTACTGCATCGGGATCATGTTTGCCAAGCTTTCCATCCTCTTGCTCTACATGAAACTCTTTGTGCCGATTCGTCGTGGCGGCGTCTTCTGGGCCAACCAAGTCCTGATCTACGTCAATGGACTCTTCTATATTGGGGCGGTTGTGGCCTTGATCTGTCAATGCATCCCACGCGCCAAGATATCGCAACCAAGACTGCCAGGACGGTGCACAAACGTTTATCTGTCCTTTATGATCAGCGGCGTCTTCAACGTGCTATCAGATTTTTTCATATTGATCTTTCCACTGTGGGCTATTTGGCATCTGCAGATGCCGCTGAAGCGCAAGTTCGGTGTGAGCATCGTATTCGCTACAGGAGTCTTGTATGTCCCTCATCCCTCCCTCTCTTCGACCTTTGGTCCCGGTACCTAAGATACTAACACCTTTCTTTTCGTCTCTCAGTGCCCTCCTTTCCAGTATCATGCGCCTTTATTATACGTCCCAGCTTTCATATAATCATGACCAAACATTCATCATCGCCAAAGTCGCGCTCTGGACGTAGGTCCTATATCCTTTGAGTTCTCCCTGGTCTGGAAATGAAGCAAAGCTAACCTAAAACGCTGACCAGAACCGCCGAGGTTGCCACCGTCCTCCTCTGCGGCTCCTTCCCAATTCTGCCCCGACTTACCCAATTCATCAAAGAATCAAAGAAACGCCCACGGCCGATGACCAAAGCATCCAATCTTAGTTGTGAACATCATTTGGATGGCTCTTGTTGCGCTGGCACTTTGGGGTCGGAAAAGTCACTGGGAACCGCCAGTTCAGAGGACGAGCATGCCAGAGCCGTCGATACGTCGCGAACGCTGGTGTAGCTAATGCTGCCAGATGGGCAAACCAACTTGGAAAGCACTGTAACAGATCTGCGTTGGCGTACGGAAGACTACCGGATGGAATTGCGGAGGTCGGTCTAGGGATGGAGAAGGTGCAAGAAAATGCGAGAAGGAACTGGGCTTCAGATGCAACGAGGTGTCGGTGTTTTGGAGTTGTATATGACTTGGTCTATGGAAGCAACGCTAGAGTCTGACCCAACGATCAAGACCGCGACTATGTATTTAAATTATATCCAAAACTACTAGTAGTAGTACAGTCTTGTTAATGTATGATTGAATGATACTTATTCGTTATACCATTGGCATAAGACTTGGCCGATGTCAAATCCCCATTGCATGTAAGTCGCTCCTGGTCCCTAGCTCTGCTGGAACATTAGCTTTGCTACGTCTCGAAGCGGACATTGTTCCGCACGTGCTAACCTGGCTTCAATCCGCATCCGTCTTCGAAGGCTTCGTCAACCACCAAATGAGAGCAATCGCGGTCAGCGGTCAGCAAGGGCCTTTGAACCAGCGGTACTGGGCGAATCTGCTGATAGGATAATGCCTTAACATCGTGCAGCCAGAGGTGCTTTCGTGATCAGTTGTCCCCTTAAACCGTGATAGTTATTGTAGCAGCGCCTTCATGCGCAGGTCATAAGTTGTTTGAGCTGATCAAGCATGGCAGCAGCCGGAGACTCTTGTCGTGTTTCCAGATGCCATTCGCCCATGACCATTTGTGAGTGCCGCTGCATTCGGGTGTTGAGTTATCCGTCATCTTTCTTGTAGAGGAAGAATTGCCAGAATATACCCATATCAAGCAACAAAGTCCCAGCGCTGCCAACAATCCACGACGCATTCACTAATATGTACCGAATATATATCTGCGCTCTCTCACCACGCTTGCAGTCACCAGAATGTCTGCATATGGGAGAATAGGCAAAAATCGACATGACGTATGTAAGATTTCCAAGGCAGGCGAAGAGGAAGAACAGCAACGAAACACCTTCAGTATTCTTACGGCGATAGTTGAGCAGCAGCTGCGGAATTCGGCTTCCCAGATACAGTGCAGCGCATAGCCATCCAAAGATTTGTCCAAGAATGTCGAACTGTGGGAAAGATGGAGAATCATCCTCCGTATGCCTGGTGCGACTTGACCGCTGACCAATCCACCAGCCAAGTACACCTGCTCCACAGACTAACAATATGGAAAATGTGTTGAAATAGAAGGCTTGGAGAGTGGTAGTTTGCCGGACGTTGTTAACGGCGGGAAGATCATCCACTTTCGGCGGATTTAGGAGTGGTGTGGCAGGTGATAAATGTGTCCCATCAACATTGATAAGGTGGCGGGCCACTCCTGAAAGTGATCCCCTTCGTGCTCTCTCGTCATATCTGGATGCATGAGAGCCGATGATACCGGAATCACTCCTTGCTAGGAGTGGTTGCTCTTCTGGCGATTCTTCTTCTGGCTCCTCGACTCTGTCCGACAGGGTAAGCCCTCGGTAATAAAAGACCTGTCCAAGAAGCACAATATCTGCGAGCGCGTAATACAGTGCCAGGATGATCATGGTCGGAAGAACTCCCTGAAGCACTGCCCCCAAGATGTTGGACAGATCGCCCAGCGACCAGACCACGAGGAAGACGATCGACAGGCCATCGGCGGAGCTCCTGCGGAAGTTCTCGATGATTTGAGGGGAGTAGACAACAACCCAGCAGGCTATAGATATCGAGCTGTTGCTCACAGTCAGCTATCATCGATAGTTCCGAATCCCAACCTCCTGTACATACCCGCAAATGCCACTCAAAGCCTCGATGTTGAGGCTGATGCCTTGCGGTGGAGGAAACATGGCCAGGGAAAGAGCTGGAGCAGAAAGAAACAATATATAAATGATGAAAGATCTATGATCTATGCCATCGAGACCAAGTAAAATGAAAGCCTACACCTTAAGGACAACGCTTGCAACAACGGTGACATGAATGAGAAGATCAGGATGTGCACCATGGTACGTAATTGAAAGGGACGGGAGGACCTCAGTCCGCCAAGCCTGAAATCTGGTGTAACAATTAACTTGCATATGGAGCTAGCGGGGATTCCGTCCGGAGGACAATCCAGAATTTTAAGTGCCTGAACGACTTGTACCCTGCTCCAACCACAATGACCATCGGAAAATCTCCTTTCCCAGAAGATCCAGCACATCCTCTACCATGCACAACGGGCGGACCTGGAACCCGTTCATACTGGACATATCATCCCGTCCTAAGTTTACACGGTCTTCTTCAGCCCAAACTTACTCTTCTTCATGTTTGATCAGCAGAAAACGGATAAGCTGAAGACCTGTAGAAGCGGAAGATGCTCTTGCACCTTATCGCGCCACTCTTCCGCCCGGTTAGATGGTGCTGTAGAACCTCTCCCATAATGGTCTGTGTACGACATGGCGGCTCTGGAAAGGCAGATCGCTTGATTCCCTTCACACCCTATCAAGGCCGGCTTCTTCCTCTTCTCGGCAACAACCAGGACTACTTGCATGGTGCTCCGTAAAGCTGACATGATTTTGTGATCGACAGCCCTACGTGAGTTATGAATGCCGATTTAGCCAGAGTAAATATTTTTTTCATTCCTCCTAGAATGACGTTGAGAAGATTGTTCGTAGGTAGAGCACCACGGACTTTTCTATGGCTGACACTCAGACATCATCGTCCTTACCATCTCTATCCGGCATGAGCACATCCCTAACGCGTAGCAAGAACATGAAGGGCGCCAGCTACAATCGCGAAGCAACCAAGGAGCGCACATCTCCGAGTTCCAGCTCAAATCCCTAGTCTGTGCCTGTGCCGTACCGTGGCAAGACGAGAAAGTCTCCTTGCTCGGGTCCAAAGTCGTCGGCCTACCGCACCTTTCTCACATCCTTATCGCACAAGAAGACCACCATAGAAGACCTTGTCGACTTCGATGGCGAAGACGACCCTTATCACCCTTGAACTGGGTGTTCATGAAGAAGGTCCTGACAACCGCTCTATACGGCTTTACCACGATGGGAGCTGCTTTCGCATCTTCTGTCTACGCTCCCGGTATCCGACGGATATCTGAAGAATTCCACGTTGGCAGGGAAGTTTCAATCTTAGGACTCGCCCTGTTACTTGCTGGGTTTGCATTGGGATCATTGCTATGGGCTCCGTTGTCAGAATTTATGGACGGAAAATGGCTGTGTTAACACCATACTTCCCGGCGGCCAGCTTCTCGTTCGGCACAGCGGTGGCCAAAGACATTCAAACTGTGATGATCACCAGGTTTTTGGGCAGGTTTCTTTGGCAGTGCCCCGGTCACAAATACCGGCGGAGTTTATGAGGACATGCTCTCCGCTGAGCAGCGTGGTCTTGCTATAGTGGGGTACGCCATGGCGGTTGTAGGAGAACTCATCTGGAGACCCATCGTTGGTGGCGCCATAGTCCAACACACCACCTGGCGGTGGACCGAATGTGTGACCGGCACCCTTATGCTACTCCTGCTGACCCTCGACACCATCTTCCTCGACGAATCCTATCCACCTGTCCTGTTAGTCAGAAAGGCCAGCAGGCTGCGCCATGAGACTGGAAACTGTGCTCTACACGCACAACACGAAGAATGGGCGGCTGGGAGTAGTATCAAAGCCATGGCCCACAAAGTGCTGGTCAGACCTATCCAAGTACTCTTCACGCCAATCGGTTTCTGCTTCGCTCTTTACATCTCCTTCGTCTACGGCATTGTGTAACCGGGAGCGTTACGTATTATTTCCCAGGGAGAACGTGGCTGGAACTACATTGTTGGCTCTCTTCCCTTTCTCACGGTTCTGGTAGGAATCTGTTCCGGTGCGGTTATCAACATCTCCAATCAGAGATACTACATCTCCCAGTATCATGCAGCATGGGATCACGCCGTTCGTAAGGCGCGTCTCCCGCCCATGATGATTGGTTCTGTTTTCTTCGCCATGGGTATATTCATCGTCGAGTGGACAGGGGACAAACAACTTCCAGGGATCGGCCCCTGCATCGGTTTGGCGTACATGGGTTTGGGCTTTTCGTCATATTTCAAGCTGCCCTCAACTATCTTATCGATACCTTTGCGGTCTACGCAGCTCGTGCTGTCGCTGCCAAAACATTTTTGAAAAGCTGCTTTATATCTCCGTTTCCGCTTGCTATAACTCCTATATATCAAAACCTTAGGATTGCTTAGGCGAGCAGTCTCTAGGGGTTCATTGACGTTGGGTTGATCCCGATTCCATTCTTGTTTCACGCTTTTGGGAGGAAGATCAGGGTTAGGGGGGAGTATAGTAAAGCGTCAGTATGCTAGAGCATTGGATCTCTGCTTTTTTGTTTCGTGAGAAGGAGTAAAAGGGCAATTTAGAGGCTTATGTGCACTAGTTAGATTTGTGGTTGGACCAGCGTTGGCGTTGGTGGAAGCGGCTGACAACGTTGTATCGTTTTATATTTCTCGGTCGTCAAGAGAACAGCCTAAGCGAGCATGGTTGGATCAGTATGTACTCTGTATTGTCGAAAGCATCACGAAGAAAAGGGAGAGGTCTTGTTGAATATATGGGTTACAACTAAGCTGCCAGTGGTCTATAACATCACAAGCCGGACTCAGCCGGCATAACCTCGGTGAAATAACGTCCTCCCCAAACTGTCCGTCACTTTTTAGCTAACTGGGTTATTCTTATCAAAAGCGTCTTTGATTGAGCTCTATTGAAAAGATGTTACTCCTCCTGCTACCTCTCCTACCTCTCCTCGCCACCATCCCCCACCTCTGCTCCGCAGCATCTCTTATCATCTCCATCCCACCCTCCACCCAGCTCCCCAATCCGAACACCCTTCCCCCATCAACGCACGCAACTCTCCTCTCCGGCGACCCTCAAGTCTCGCCCATCTCCACGCCTCTCACAACGCGGTCGACGATCGAATTCCACAACCTCAGCCTCCCAGCATCCCCAGCCTCGAGCGCACAATCCTACCTCCTGACCATCTCCGCCCTGAGCCATGTCTTCGCATGCTACCGCGTTGATATCATCCCCGGCGGCTCGGTCGACGGCGGCGCCGTGATCGAAGGCATATGGAAGACCTATCCGGGATCGGCGTGGTCTGACAGGGGGCCGATACTGGGTGGGAAGGCAGCGCAGGGCGGCGGGGCGAGTGGGCGCGTGGTCAACTCTGCAGGCTCAGGCTCAAGCTCAGAGGGGCCGGCGCCAGAGCAGCAGCCGGGGCAGGAACAGACCGTTCGGATCGACGCCAAAGTGCTGTCGCGGCGGGAATTCTACGAGCAGAGAGCCGGGTTCAATCCGCTGGGCTTACTGATGAATCCGATGGTGTTGCTTGGTGTGGTGGCCATGGGGATTACGTTTGGAATGCCGTATTTGATGGATAATAGTATGCCCTCTATCTCTCCTCCTTCTATCCCGAGTACAATTTTTTACCGCTCTACCCTTTTTCTCGTCCTGCAATATACTCCTCCCCTCCAATACCACCAAGCAACCCACCCAAGCCATAATCCTATGCTAATACCTCATGTCCAGTCGATCCAGATCTCAAAGCCGAATTCCAAGAGCAACAGAAGAACAGCCCCTTAGCTGGCATGCACAGCGCTCTCCAAGCAGCGGCCAGTGGTGGTGGTGGGAGCACCGCGGGTGGAGTGGGAGGAGGCGGGCCGGCGAGCAATTTCGATCTGGCCAGCTGGATGGCAGGAGCGGGGAAGAGCGCGCAGGGGCAGGGCGGTGTCTCTAGTAGTGGGGTGGATCTTAGGGAAGGCGCGGGGGCGAGGAAAAGATGATATGATGGTAAAGCGTACTATACTGACTCTTGCTATGAGGATAGAGAGATAGAGGCGGCAGAGACGTGAACATAGCCCGAAAGTGTTATGCAGATAGAAGCTTTTCTATATCCTGTTGCCTCTTTAGCTCGTCGGTAAATACGAGTGCTGTTAGATGATCTGAGGCCCTCATCCCGTCCCAGCCTCTAGCATCAATATCCTGTCTGTGCAATTCTGTAGGGACTGCATCTCTAGGGTTCCAAAGGTGGTACCTCATTGCCCAGGACGAAGTGATGCCGGCCTCGTGGACTGTCGCTGAAGGATGTTCGGTGCCAAAGACTAGCGAGGAGAATAGTGGTTTAAGCCTCCGTGTAAAAGCTGTCAACGCCAATTGCTCACCTCGCTGATGTAGGTGACCAGAGGAAAGGCGACGCTTCCTGCCCACAAATGACAGTCCAATCGAATGAGGAGTCTCCATTTTGTTTCCTCCGAAGCCATATCCTGAGCGAGAAACGGGACCATTTCTGGGCTCAAGTCATCTAGACTCGTTCAACAAGGGGACCGTTGAAAAAATCAGGAAGTCCGAAAAGCTTCGTCGCAAGTTAGCAAGTCGGCATATGATTGAATTCCAGGAATCGATGAGCGCTGATGCTGGCAGCGTGGCGCTGGCTAGACCATTCTCGCTAAAAGGATCTTTCGTGGTGAAGTTTTCGCTGAGATCGAAAGCATGGTACTTAAATGTACTATGCTTGGATAGCTCTCTGCTGAAACGCAAAAGCAATTCTCCGTGCCGACAAAGAGATCTAAAGTCCCATGCTGTCCTGGTGCACAGTAAGGCTAAAGATCAACCCCAGTGATCGAAATATGCTGGCTAGGCCATATGTACCATGTTCCTTCAAAGATTGGTACCATGGCGACACAGATGCTTTGAATTTGCAAGGCTCCCCCACCATCATCAAGGTGGCATAGCTTCCGTTCAGTGCCCAAACACAGCATGCGCATGAGTACAATTTGGACACGATGCATCCCATGCTGCAACCACAGAGTCCTTTCACAGGCCACAATGCTTCGTTTGACATTCTTCTGGCGACAAATAAAGCCCTGTTTTGCCTGCAAACCAAAGGCACATGATTCCAACTTTATCACGACTTTTGCAGTATATTCAATAGACCGGTGCAGCGAAGATCACTAGTGCATCTTTGATCTGAATGTGTGCTTTCTAAATAGGGCCACTAAGTCACTGGATCTTCCAGTAGCTTCTTGAATGACTGCAGCGTTCTCTCCCAAGCCTCTGGGCTTCTGATGGCGAAGGCTTTGACAAGTTCAACCGCTTCCAAATCTGCTCTCATTCTCTCGTGTCTTTTTGTGCCATTAAGCACAACTATGTTTCCCAAACCAAACACGAGACAATACAGAGCTGCTTGCGTGGATATACCTAATTGATTAGCAAGGACACCAACCTCAGCAGACCAGACCAGTTTGGGATTTGCTGTCAATGTCCAAAAACTTTGGTAGATGATAGCCTTCTCAAGACAGAATTTTCGTAGGCCAATGTCAAACTTAGTTTGGGGATAGAAGCGGTTTTGAACTACAGCTGGCTTGATGGTTGCTCTCTCAAAAATATCCATCAAGGTAAACAAATTGCAGTTGGACACCCCCAGGTTACGAATCTTCCCTGGGACAAAACGCTCCAAAGTTTCCCATACTTCCATTGTCTCTGCAATGGTAGGCATCGGTGAATGGAGCACCACCGTGTCAATATATGATCCTTCCACATCGTCAAAACGGTCCCCTGATGTTCGAAGATGCTGTAAAGAGGACTCTACAGAGTCGTGAACCTGTTTAGAGACTGGGTCTTTGGGGTCGTATGGAAGATCGTCCGGGTCCTGCCCAGAAACTGAGGTGAATTTGGTCTGCACATAGATGTCGGCCCTCTTCACCATGCCTTCCTGCAGAGCCTTCCGGATTCCGGAGCCTACCAGTTGCTCCTGATAGTGCTTGGGTTGATTGGCCGTGTCAATAGCCCTGATTCCAGCATTCAGTGCTTGGTAGACTAGATCTGCTGTGGCATCTTTTTTCCAAGCAGTTCCGTAGATAAACGCTGGAAGGCTTTGGCTAATATGTGGAATGTGCGGGGAGTTCAGTGAGAGCCTTCCCACCAGTGCAGTTGCTGCCATTGTGACCCTGTTGATCCAGAAATGTCATAGCAGTGGAGGAGTGTGGCTTGCTTGCTAGGACGTACAAGTAGAGTTGTCTTGTTCAGGTTCCTGGGTAGTACTGCAGTGGTTCGGAGGGAGGATGTAAAGTCTTGGCATGTCTGATATCACTACTAGGGACTAGTACTAGTGACTAGTACTAGTTAGTTAGTAGGCTGAGCTTAAACCATGACACGGTACTGGTAAAGTGAGAATCGCATCTTCAAATGACGATCTCCGCAGCTCAGTCCGACGTGCTGTTAGGTGCTAATGGGCATTTGCCCTGTGCTGTTCTATAATGTCTCACGTTTCAAAGGAATACTGCCTGCCACTATGTTAGTCTGGCACCATCTGGAACAGTTCGACTCTTTGCTTAAAGAATCACAATCACATCAGAAACACTTCTGCACCAGATATCTGCAGCCTTCCGCATACTCTTCGAACGTCCGAACCGTCCCCCACCAACCGGCGAATTTCTGCGACAACATCTATTCAGGGCTTTATCACCATCCCTGAGACAAGAAAGGTTCTGGCCGGGCCTTTCTGGAGCACTCTTAAGGGCCATATCACACGCGCGCGAAAGACCTTTGAGAGAAACATCACTTAAATCCTCTTCCGGCCCTCTGAATCCCTCAATTCTCTTCGCATCAAGCATGGCTTCACAGAGCCTATCTAGAAAACGACCGGCCCCTGGGACCTCACCTATTCCATACCAAGATGCATACGCTCCACCGCTGCCAGGATTGGAAGAATACGCCGGCCTGGATCCACATGTCTCCGATGACCAATTTCTCCAATTCGGATACCAATCTCAAGCTGATAAACCGTCAACGCCCTACAGTGAGGTCGCAACACCCCAATCACAAAGTTACAGCAGTGATATAGCGCCGGGCTCCAATCAGCTTGCTCGGAGGCCCGCCAATCCTGTTGGTCCTCGAGACCAAGGCCACAGAGACTCGGGCGATTTGCAGTGGGCGGAACAAGCGGAGAGTCAGCGGGTTGAAGGCGCATGGGGGGACGATCTTGAAGACCTAAAACGCAGAGCACAGGTTGCGAAGAGAGAAGCTCAATCAAAAAGGAAGCAGATACCGCCTTTTGTCCAGAAGCTTGCCAGGTGAGTTACCCGTGCTTGCCAACACGCTGCTAATGCTGACTTGTATGTAGCTTCCTGGATGATGAAAAAAACACCAACCTCATTCGATGGTCTGACGATGGCAACTCTTTCATTGTGGAGGACGAAGATGAATTCGCAAAGAAGCTCATTCCGGAGCTGTTCAAACATAATAATTATACCTCCTTCGTGAGGCAACTGAACATGTATGGGTTTCACAAGAAGGTTGGGCTATCAGACAATTCGATGAGGGCCAGTGAGAAGAAGGCCAAGAGTCCAAGCGAGTACTCCAATCCATATTTCAGACGTGGCTATCCTGATCTCCTGTGGTTGATTCAAAAGCCGAGAAACACTGGTCAAGGCGCAAAAGGAAAGCTGGTACCAAGAAGACCTGACCTTGACCAGAACGAGGATGAGATTGAAGAAATCGTCGAAGAAATCCAGCAGCAACACCCACAGCAACCACAGCCATCGAAACCGAAACAACCAGGGCGGCTGGCAATTGGACAAGGAGATGCGACGCTCCCATCAGAACAGCTTGTCAGTGTTCATCGGGAGCTCCAAGCCATTCGAACTCAGCAACAACAAATTGCCGCCATGCTACATCGATTGAAGCGTGAACACGAGCAACTCTACGGGCAGGCCGCCAACTTTCAAGACCAACACTCGCGTCACGAAAACTCCATCAACGCCATTCTCACCTTCCTTGCCACTGTTTACAATCGAAGTCTACAGGGCCACGAGGGAGTGCAGGGTATCGCCAATCTTTTCACTGGTGTCATACCTCAGGAAACTAACCAAAGTCATGTTGTTGACGTTGGTGACTATACATTCGACCAACTTAATGGCACAGATGGCTCCATTCAACGCCCTTTCAAGCGACAGCCTCTGTTGTTGAAAGCCGCACCTACCGAGGCAGGCCGCGCTACCACGGCAACTCCTTCGTCAGGTGGTACTCCGCATGAGGGCCGACAGACGAGTCGAACGCCCCAAGCAGCCAGAAATAGTGTACATCATCATGGGAATGCGAAGGGATATTTTGATATGCAAAACCAGCAGTCACAACCTCAAAGCGCGAATCAAAGCGACATTCTTTCTGTGATCCAAAATAGTAACGCGAAAAACTCAACGCCAGGGACTCCTGCACCAGACTTTTCGAATGTCCTTAACTCGCTAGAAAATGCTGGCGGCGCATCACCTCTTACCAATACGCAACGTGCAGACATGCTCCGTCTTATCAACAATCAAGGATCGGCTTCCAACGCTGGCGACAACGCTTTGACTTCACCCAATCCCCCACCCATGCCCAACAACTACGATCGTCGACTTGCTGCCACGAAATCCGATCTTGACAATCTCGCCAAAATGCAAGCAGATCAAGATCGCTCAGTCCAAAATCTGACGAACCTCCTGCAACCACTCAGTCCAACGGGCTCCATCCCAGGCCTCGGCGACGGCGCAGACGTCCAGCCTCCTCCGCTAGACATTGACGACTTCTTGAGCAGCAGCGCCAATTACTTTCCAGACTTTCCACCCGACCCAAGCTTTGAATTCACCAATGCAGATATTAACACCAGTGCTACCAATACCAATGGCATCAACTTCGCTGACCTCAACGACGGCGACGATGAGCTCTTCGGTGATGTCGGAAGCACCGGCAATGGGACGAACCACGGTCTACCGCAGAACAGCAACAATGGCTACAATTATCTGAACGTAGACGGCGCCGCTGATGATGGTGGCGGCGGCAGAGTCGAGTCAATGGCCAGCAGTGAAGGAGCGAGTCCCACGAATACAACAGCCACGACTGATGGTGACGGACAGACACCGAGGTCGTGCGCAAATGCTGCCGCAGAATCTCAAGTCCAAAGAGGGAATAGTCCGCCTAGGAAGAGGAAAAGGGTCGGTTGAGGAAAATCAATCTACCCGGCTGGCGGGACATGTCTACGCTTTCCAGTCTTCGTTTGTCTTTGGCATGCCGATGTTGTGTTTCTTGGGAGGGCGTATGCGATACCCGGACCATAGCGTCCCTAAAAAACAGGAGACGACCTGCGGTTGTTTTTTTTTTGATGATTGGTCTAGCGTGCGGCTGGATCTGCTACCACGACTTGATGGCATGAATGATACCAACCACATACGCACGCTGATGTGGGCAACAAAACCGGTAATTCTTAGCTGATTGGTCGGCTGAATGAATTATGGATTGATTGATTGATTGGCTAGCCAGTGGGCGATCAAGTTTGCATGCACACGTAAAACCAAGCATACACAACCAACCCAGCAAGCACTTCAGATCAGTTTAGCTTCTTCTTCTTCTTCCATAATCCCATGTTCCAATCCCACTGTTCCTCAATGGCGTCATAACAGCCCTGCTCACTTTCCTCTGCCACCCCACTCCCGTTCTCTTTTCCCACTCCTTCGGTTCAACTTACCACTGGCAGCCAGATCCTTCTCCTTCTCCCTCGGATCAATCACAACCAATTCCTCCTCGTTCTTCCGCTTCCAGGTCAGATCTTTGCCCAATCTGTCCTTTTCGAAGGACAGGGCGTGGGACATCCAATCTGTGTCGCCTGTTGGATCTGCATCTTCTTCGTCGGCGGAAGCGGAGGAATGTGGATGCTGTTGGTCGGAGTGGTTGGCGAGGTCTGATGAGGGGTTTCGGTCCCAATGGGAACACGATAGGCAATTCGCTATGAAATGCAGATCGCAAAGGGCTGCTTCTTCTTCGCCGTGGTCGTCGTCTTCTTTGCCCTCCTTCATTGTGGCATCTGCAGATTGCTGAGACAACACGCCATTGCCATTCAAGCTGGTCCTCTTGCCCTCGTCCTTCGCCTTCGACGATCTCTTTACCTCCATCTCGTTGCGACCAATCCCCTCCAGCCGCGCTTTGAACGCGTTCAACATCTTCAGTGCATCTCTGTCGTTGTTGCTGCCAAGGGTACTACCACCGCTATCGCCTGGCCTCGGCCTCTTCCGGCCTCGGATGCTCTTTTCGGGGATCAATTGCTCGAGTGCGGATTTCTTGCGGGGTTTTTCCGAAGCTGTGGGCACGTTGCGGCGCATGGATGCTTTAAGGGCGGCGATTTCGGCGTTGAGTGTCGTTGTTGGTGTTTTGGAGGGCGGGCCGGGTGATGGGGTGGGAGACCGTGATGGAGATTCTGGGTCTTTGAGGGGGAGTTGGGTCGTTGGGTCGTGGAAGGAAGGTTTGCGGCGCTGCGTTGATGGGGATTTTGATGAGCGTTTTGATGGGGAGTGAGGTGAAGAGTTGGGCGAAGAGCGGTGGCGAGTAAGCTTCGTTATCTCACTAGATGTCTTCTTCGAGTAGCTATCTTGAGGTTGATTGGAAGACGGTTTGGTTGCTGTTTCGCTTTGGAACTTCTCCGGATCTGGCTCCCGTTGTCCATTCGCGGCACCATCCTGCTTGCTGGCTGTGCCGTTGATCAGCCTTGTGTTGAACTTCGCTTTGGGCTGGATTGCAGGTCCTGTATCTGTATCGCCCTCCTCGTCGCCGAAACTCAGCAACGTTTTGCCCTTCTTCTTGGTCTTCGCCTTCTTCTGCGCCTTGCCCTCCATCTCCTCGTCCTGCGGTGCCGTCCTTTTAGCCACTCTCTCCCTCTTCTTCATGCTTGCCCAGGGCTCCCCTTTAGGCATCTCCAGCACCTCTGCCCCTGTAATCCTGAACGGATACATTGGCCTTTCGATACCCTCCACGTTCTCCGCCTCCGCTATGCGTACGATATTGTATATCCCCTCCCCCTCCACTCTCCCAAACATTGTACACTTCCCATCCAGCTGCGCCCTTACATCTGCCAAAGTGATGAAAAACTGGCTCCCATATGTACTCTCACCCATCTTTGCCATTCCCACCAGTCCGCGCCGATTCAGCTTCAGCCGGCTGTGCACCTCATCTCCAAACACCACCTTCTCCCCTGTTCTGGCATCGATTTCGAATTCTCGGTCCTCGTAGATGCTTTCCCCGCCTTCGCCAGTTCCGGTCGGGTCACCGCCTTGGATGACGAAGCCCGGGACAACGCGGTGGAAGGTTGTCGAGGTGTAGTAGCCATCTAGGATGTGTTGCAGGAAGTTTCGAGACGCGAGGGGCGTTTGGGTTGCGAATAGTGAGATTTGGATTGGGCCGGCTGTGGTGTGTAGGAGGACGGAGGCGGTAGGGGGTGGTTCGGTTGTGTAGTGAGATGACATTCTGTGTTTACGAGTCTCGTTTTCTTGAATGCCATTTATTTTTATTTGGTTCACGGGGTGTTCCCATGCAAGGTCAGGTGGAAGAAGGGAGCTAATGATTGGTTGGTACTTAGTACTTACCTGGAGAAGGGCTCCGAAAATGACGCTGTATTTATTGGTCCTTAGTAATTTTACAGACGTTTTGTAGTTTTAGGGATCATTGGAGGGCTCAAATGACCATATCTTGAGCGTCTTTGACTATAATTTTCATAAAATGACGTCCAAAACAACATGATTTTATTAGATTCTGAATGCTAAGTTACGTATTCTATAGAAACCAGATCATATTGCAGTTAGACTTAAACTAGGCACACATTGATGGCAATTTAGACATACTACGGTAGGAGGCATATTAAATGTAACCCCCGCTCTAATAACAGTTTGTAACGCCAAGATATAACGCCACAAAACCGCTGTCGAGTAGTAATACAGCATAACGCTGGTACGGCCGTATGGCCAGCAACCTCCTTGCATGGCAGCGCAAGCTGCCGCAATTTCCCAAAGCGGCTTAGCGCTACTCTGATATATCACGTGTCCGGAGTATGCACAACACCACAGAGTGAGAACTTCAACAATCGCTTAATTAAGATTAATCTATTATCTATCTTAAGCTGAGTATGCATCTTATAGCATCTATAACTACCTAGCATCTTACTAGAATTGATTAAAGTAATTGTATAATGAGATAGAATCAGTAGAAGAAGCTCAACGCATCAAACGTGGTGGATGACCCCCCAAAGTGGTACGTCATTTGTATAAGCGCCGTAAGGATATCTGTATGAAGGTCGTTAATAACAATTTTACTAGTGGGGAGGGTTACATTTAATATACCTCCTACCGTAGTATGTTTGGAGGGCCTCTTCCTGCTAACTACTTATGCAGAGGATGGCTTCCGGACAAGTCCGCCAAGAAAATATTTTCCCGAAAACTTTTACCAACAACTTCTTACGGAGTACCACATGGAGTCAGGTCATCCGGGTTCTACCCAACACACCGCTATCGAAATGTTGCAAGACATGATCAGCTATAGATTTACATTCAGCCCATACTACCAGCTACGAAATTCTGACAGCTCTGTGCATGCTCTCGCTTGAAGTGCTGGGTGAAATTCTGGTAATGTAATCGACCCCTCATTCTCTGCTCAGAATGGTCTAATCTTCGTATTATTGCTCTGACACAAAGCCTGGAAAATGGTGTACTCCCATCGGCTTATACTAGGAAATTTACACAGCAAGCTTTTCAATCTGCTTAGAAAGGGCATCCGTCACTTCTCTGGTGCTAGCATATTCTCCGAGTTCTTTGGTCAGAAGACCTGCCTCGACTACCTGCTCCACGCAAGCTATGATTTTATCTGCCGCATCACTTCACCAATTCAGCTCAACATCCCTGCAGCACTCTAAAACGTCACCACAAGACTCGCAATTCCTTTTCCGGCCATGTCAAAATTGCTGCCATGAACTCCCTTGAATAAGCTTGGTTTTCCGCGTTGGATCGAGGTTGCTACTTGGAACAACTCAGCCGAACCAGCCGATTCCCCTGCCAGCTCACTCAGCATGACCATGTGTAGGTGTGTGCAAACAGTTGTATCAAGCAAGGTTGGATTGGTGCCAATTCTGACCGTCATGGCATCTGCCAGTATTTCCCCCTAGGTCACCCTGTCCCCACTGGGAATATGGTCGAACTCAACTGTGAACGTCGTAAAGCACCGCACAACGACTCCAAGCAAGACTGAATCGTCGCACTGGGTACCTCAAGGCCAATCCCGTCTCCGCCTACGGAAGCGATACAGTAGTGAGATTTCCTGATCGAAGGCTGAATAGAATGATACATTTGACTGCCTTCAACCCGCACACAAAGATCTAATACAGCGGCTACCCAGGAAGTTTGGCGCAAGACCTGTTCTGATGTGCATCCATCCAGTGCTTGAAGTCGATCGTAGCTTGGTCATGGTAGACCTGGGGGTCGGATGAAACTCTAGTTACAAAGTCCTGCAAAGCCACTACATGTGTTCCATCATTGGCTTTCCAGTAGTGGGAGACAATGGTCTCGGCATATACTACTATACGTATACTCCCAATCCTCTCCATGGGCCACCATTGGCTGTATCAATATGCTAGACGCCCGAATACTCCCCCCTAGTCTTCTACTTAGTTAGGTCTAGCATTGACTAGTAGCTCCCTTCCCACACTTAAGAATGGACTGTGTCTTAGGTTAGCCTAAAGGGGTAAGTGCTGGTCCTGGAGAAATCTGTAATAAGTACCCGCTATGGTCAGCGTCCATCCTTATTCCTCTACTTACTTAACAGTTTGCCCACTCATTATCTCGATTTTCTTGGATTGCTTGAGACCTGCTCCGATAAAGCATGCTACTGGTCTTGGCCATGATATCGTCTGACATGAGAATGCCACACTAGACGGTAATTGTTTCAAAACATGCTGGTCTGACACATACGTTTCTGCCTAGATCTCGAAATCCATATCCTGCAATGGAGAGATACTCGTCCAACAAGCAATAACTCGATGTCGACATGAACGCGTGTATTTGCCTAGTTTTGATTCTGAAAGGCAACAAAAGTGCTGCAAGACAGCCTTTCTCATTGCAGCGATAATATCTGGGCAGATATCACAGAGTATCAGTCGAGTATAGGAAGTACAATGGACACTGAACCACATTCTCTGACTTAATGCAGACGTATTTTCGATCTGCGTTTGGCCCAGTCAGCCAGTGGTCCCTGTTGAGCCGCAGTGGAAATTGCTCCTGAGCACAACTCCTATCCTCTACAACTCTGAGAGAAAGCAAGACGATCGTTTGACTCGCGGAGTCTAATTTGTCCATACCCCACATTGCCTATCATCTCTTCATCACAAGATGTCCGCGCCTGACAAGTACAATCTCTATATAATGAGCCGCCAGCATAGCTCCGGCTACGAACAGTGGGGTCTAGCTACAACACCTCCAAACGATGATCACTGCACCTTCTACTATTCCGACCTCAACACAACAGACACTCGTTCCAACCATACTAGACCCCCACGTGTCCTCGAAAATCAACTCCTGAATGACGACAAGGTGGTCTATAAGAAACTCTTGTCAACAATCACACTTCCTCACATGTACGGTAGGACTGGGTTCATCGCAGTCGCTGTCGGTGTTAGAGGGTACGACAATATGGCATACGTGCTAAGAGCTCTATTTGAGCTTGAACAGGCCTGGCTTGTGCCCCCTGAAACGTGGGCTGAGTGGAAGGACAAACTGACTGTCGCCAGCTGGCCAGCTAGACCGGAATTGCGAAAGCCTTCAAGTCCGAAAGCCAGCAGTGGTTCCAGTCATGGGTGTTCATCAACGGCGCGAAGTACCTATCACAGGACAAGGGGGGGTTCGCGTGCTCCCGCAGCCAGCCGTCAAGACCGTAGCTGATGCGGTCAGCGCCCAGGTCTTTTTCACTTTGACGAACTATTGTTGCATTCTATGAAATTCACTGTAAGATTATGACTACATATGAATATGAAGGATAGATAAGTACTTAATAAACTACTTATTACTCTAACACTCAGGGAAGTTCCCATCAGCATCATGATGTGGCAGAGCGCTTTGACACGATGTCTTTGAGGCTGGGGACGAGCCACGAGAATACTACTTTTATAAACCGACAACGTCTGCTTCGCTGTAGCAGCGACTCTGGTGTCTTATGAGCGCGGTCCTTGCATGACTCAGAGTTTCGGATGCATGGGGCATACTTCTGATGATTTCTTGCAGTCAAGTATGAGCAGTACGAGTTTGTCAGCCCTCATAAGTACTTAGTAGTAGTACTAGCCAGGACCATTCGTTGGAAATGTTTTCACGGATAAAATATCATTTGATAGGAACTTGCTTTCAGACTAAACATTGGCGGCGTTAGGCTTCGTCATTTCCAGGTAAAACCACAAAGTCCCACCTAACCACCGCTTCTGCTCTGCTGACGACTTAGAGAAGTATGGTGCGATGATGTTGTACGAATCACAGCGAACGTGTAAGCACACTGACAATATAACAGTCGAAGGGAGACGAATGTTCAAAATACGATCAGACACTACTACTAGTAGTATCCTACTAGTAGTAGAGGAAAAACTTTTCTTGGCGGACAATGCGTTTCGAGCATTGCAGTACAGTGTTCCACTTATCCTTGAAGTTTGTTTTACATCACCTTTCAAAAGCTCCCACTGCCCGCTCTAGATCTCCTGGGAAATGACAGTTGACCTCCCCCAAAGATGCCGTTGGCATTCACAGAACACTCGGCCCTCTAAAACTTGGAAGATTAACCCACCTCATTATCTTATTCTTACATACCTGTACGATGAACCCTGCTAAGGATAACATGCTTGGTCTTTGGTTGTTGCAACACAAAGCCAGGGACGGACAGTTGCGCTGGATGTTGGCCCTGATGAATTGGTCTGATGGAAGCAGTACCTTTTATTACGCCGACAACCATCATGGTGAGACAAGACAACTACAAACCATACGAGTGCACTCCTTCCACAACGAACCGAGTCGAGATCCTAATAAGCTATTCATTGCAGCGATTGAGCCTGACCAATTATTTGGGGAACAAGGGTTCTACCGTAGTTTGGCACTGGCGTCGGGGTCTGAGGAAAAGCTGTACATTATAGGGTCCATCCGCAACATGGAGACATTCGGCATTGTCCCTGTTGGAAAGTCGCGAGATTGCAGAACTTTTATGAACCCCGAGTCTTCATCCTCCTCCCTTGGAGGGTCTTCTCCGGCTATGTCGACGGATAGCGGTACGTCTGGCAGCTCTCCCGCGAAGAGAGCACAAAACGCAGATTTAGCCCGTAATCGTTCCACTGCCTCCTCTAGAGCGGGACCATCTTCAGGCCCAAGCGGCGCAGCTGAGGGTTCTCTCCTCCGGGGAAGAAGACGACGTAGTTAGAGCTGGCTCTGAAGGCTCACCAGAGTGCTGATAGCCAAAGACAGCTGTACGCCTCAACTTGCAGCACCTCCACCCGGCATGCAAGCTGCCGTACTCTTCTTACTCCACGACACCCAGTGGACAGATACACACGAGAAATGCTTAAACGACAGGGCAGGGGTGTTTTCTCAATCCATGTTCTCATCGCTTTCCCTGCCCAAGAACAAACGCTGGGCTAGCTTTCTTCATCAGGGTTTCGCCCAATGTCTGCTCCTCATTGCCTCTGTTGACAGTATATGATTTCACTCGTCCTACCTTCTGGTTTGTAGTGCTGTTCCTGTATATCCTTTGTTAAGCTAGAGCGATGGAACTCAGATGTCTATAGACTATTGACGAAATTTCCCATTTCAAGGGGACCCTTTTTCGATCTCTGTCATTGGGTAATAGAACTTATGTTCGTAGCATTTCGACAGAGTACACAGAGAGCTTATTCTACCACTCATATCCCCATCGGATGATGGCAGCGCGAAAAGCCTCACACATGACAAAATCTCTGGGATATAATTAGTAGTTTGGAAGTGGACAACGGCCCGAAGCTTGGCGCCAAAATTTTCCGTAGCCCCCCTCCTACCCCCCCCCCCCCCCCCCCTCCATTCCCCTATTTCTCTACCAATACTCACTCAAATTTAGGGAATAATGAGTTCTGAACAGGGAAATAGACGGCGCGTCTGCTGAAAGTCTTATTCGATAGATCCCCTTCTCCTGCGGCCCCACGAACGCTAAAAACGATGCTTGATACGCCGCGCCGCGCGCGCCTCCTCGCCGATGCACGCCACACAGCTGGCAAACTACCTCGTACAGAGCTATTTAAGATACATAATATATCTGAAACAACTGGCTATCGAATCATCAAAGAAGGAACTGCGCGCCGCAGTCAGAAAGTCCACAATCGAGGTCGAAAGCAAGTACTTGCTCAATATGAGTGTGAAGCAATTGAGGCAGTAGAAGATGCCAATTTTGGCTTTGCTTCTTCTAGTCATTTCAAGGTGGCAAAGACTATTGGTATAGCTAAT